GGTGATGGGGAACAGGCATGAGGCATGCAATGATTCAGCAGTGCTGATTTTTTTAAGTAGCTTCCAATCTGCTGGGAAAAGGTCAGGACCCAGTATGAAAATGCTTTCAGTTGAATAAATCATGAAAAAATAATAATAGATATTTCATGACAGAAACAGTAGGTAATTCCTCCAGAGAAAAATCACGATTACAGATTTTGCATGGCTGTTTACTAACATGCAACATAACTGCAGGGATCGAAAGTGGAATAAAGAAACTGGTTTAAAGGACTTTTTTAACATGAAGTGTTCTCCATAAAACTATTATGCTGAGAGGATGACTAATGTAACCAGTGTGTTTTGAAGCGTGTCATGAACACTTTTTATGCTTTCTGAGCACACAAAGAGAAACCCCAGGAGAGAATTAATTTACAAATCTGATTAAGCGGAGTGCCTAAGTGGCAAAAACCATCATGCAGTAAATAGTAGGCTCCACAGGTAACTAAAGGCCTAACAAAACCACCAAGCATTCAACACAAAAATCCCAGATGTGTGCATTTGGGGTGGTTTGATGTGTTTTATGAGATGTCAAAGGCACAAACAAACAATGAAAGCAGAGGTCACACTCAAATGTTACCTCCTACCTCTTCATTAAACCATCATACTCTCTGCCTTTAGGTGTAAAGCATCTATCATTCTTTGGGAAGCAGAGGTAAGCTTGTAAGCAGAGATGATCCATCAGATAGGGTTCTTCTACCTGATGTCAGGACAGACACACAACATTAGCTCCTCTGCTAATGGCAGCAGCTCTGTGCAATAAGTCCTGCAACATGGTGTGCATGAACAAACCTCCAACTCTTGGGATGGACACCCCTCCAAGCACAAACCAGTGCTCTGCAGGACCAAAGCATCCAGCACTGACTCTTTCTTTGTGGGCTGGAGATCTGCACAGCCCACAAGGGTCGTGGCACAAGGCCACGACCATCCCTTGGTCCCGCCCCAGTCACGACAAAAGCTGCCTCTTGTATGGGCCTTGTTCACTCATTCATATTTGGAATAGCCTGTGACAGCATTTCAGAAGTGAACAGTACTGCTGCTCAGCAATCAGATTTTATTGCCTCTGGGGACTTTCTGAGCTCACAGGAGTCTGGATTTTAATTACAATCCCTCATAGCTGCAGATGAGGGGTTACCTCAAATGCCGGAGAGATGTTCATTAGAAGTTAAAGCTTTAAGTCCCATCAGTGCACCTGTGAATATTAGAGCTACCTTTTCTATTCAGGCATGTACTTTTACTAATTTTCATACCCTCTGGGATAACTGTGAATATACATGGCATTTTAAAATGATCCTCATAATTTCATTCAAAAATGTATGTGTGACAGAGTCACTTGGCATGACTAGAACTTATCACAGAATCATAGAATCACAGAATGGTTTAGGTTGAAAGGGACCTTACAGCTCACCACCTGTAACCCCTGCTGTTGGCTGGGTGCCCTCCATCATTTTAGGCTGCCCAGGGCCCATCCAACCTGGCCTTGAGCATTTCCAGGGATGGGGCACCCACAGCTCTCTGTGCCAGAGCATCACCGCCCTCTGAAGAAAGAATTTCCTCTGAATATCTAATCTAAATCTTCCCCCTTTTTTAGTGTAAAATCATTTCCCTTTGTCCTATCACCATCCAACCGTGCATTGCTTTCAGCAATTTTGTGTCTCTTGGAGGCCATGCCTTTTATTCTCCACCCCTGTCACAGAAATGTCATGGGATTGTTGAGCAAAGATCTTCCTTTTGCTGGAGTTCAGTGTGTCTACCAAAGCTCTAAAGTACTAAAGCCAGCTCTCAGCTTGGAAGCTCAGCTGTGAAGCAGCACAGGAAAGCACCACACTCTATCATTGCTGCCCAGAGCTCTGCAGCTTCCCACTCACAACCTCTGAAAGAAGCGTTCACTAAATCACTTCCATCTACACAGTAATGTTTAGAGCCTGCCAACATTTAAGCACCCATTAGCATGATTGATTTCCCATTATCTAATTAATTACTGCAGATTCCACACTTTCATGTTACCTGCTATACCCCTTGCGTAAGAATAGCAGACACCCTGTCACCAGAATGTGATGGGTCTGAATTTCTCATGGTGAGGTACAAAACTCCATCCAGTCCCAGGCAAGAGTGGCCCAGGAGGTCTTTGCAGACCTTCTGTCTGACTGTTACCCAGTTTCTATATTTTTACCCATAAAAGAGAGTAGGAGATTGCACTTGCTTTATGTGGCATAAGAGACTACATAAGACAGTGAGAAATGAAGTCTATAATTTTTTATTCTAAAGCGTATGTTACAGATATGGTGCCTCATTTAGCATTCAGTTTCATTCCTCTATTGGGTTAATTAGCTTCCGATGAGGAAAATCATTTAATTAGGCCCACAGCTGATCAGAGCCTGGTGCACAGCCTAACATAACAGAGAAGATGCAAATTGATTTCAATATGTTTTGGGTCAGACCCAAACATCCAAAGCAAATAGAGAGATAAGACAGCATCTGCTGACTATTCACCTGCCAAGTCTTTACACTGCTCCGTAATTGTAGGTGCTGCAGGCAATTGTCCAGGTTATTTACCACCTGGGCCATTTTGATCTCCTCCTGACCATGGGTATTGATGCACCAGCTCTTTTATCTCCACTGCAGTAGTACAGGCCCAACTGTACCAGCAGTATAAGGTTTAGAATCAATACTGATTCCTCTCTCGTTCAGTTGAACTGCATTTTACTTGCCTAATTACTAATATCTATAAAAGGCCTGAACAGGCAAAGCTTAACTGAGCAGTCTCAGTTGTTGGATGTGCTGCAGAAACACACATCATAATCACAATTACACAGCACAGGATACACCTACACTCTTCCCAACTCGTCTGGATCCAGTCGTGGCTAACACAAGTGGCAGAACCTTGCACCCAGTCACACATCTGTATCAGCCACATCAGGTATTATTTTCTTCCTACTGGGAATAAAACTTATTGATTTGCTTACAAACTTAGTGCAGGCCTGTAAATATGTCACAGACATCAATCCTTTATGAACGAAAATATGTTCTCCCACATATGTTAGCACGTAGCTTGGCTCCTGAGGAAAGGCTGTATGTGAGACATTAGGAGTCCACCTGAAATTCCTCTTATCTCAAAATCTGATTCCCCTAGTGTACAGTTCAATTGATCTTGGATGTCCGAACATCCAGGTGGGAGATTTCTATGCTCGGATATGTAAGGCTACTTCTCCAATATTTTTCTCTTTGTACCTTACCTGTAATAAATATTCTAGACTCAAATGGCATCTAACAGCTCTGTTTGTGAACAGGACAAATGAGCTCATTCTTCCAAATCTAGATGGATTTTCAGACTGAACAACAATACAATTTTTTTTTAGAGATTCTTCCTGCAAACTCAATAGACAAGATTCGCTTCACAGACCCACAGAGGACAGGTATCTTGGGGGAGGAAATGTTTTATTTTTTTTAAATGTTCAAAGGTTCCATAATGTTCAGTGATGCTATCGAGGCTGTGTTACAGCTGACTGATTTTATTTATGAAGTTTCATCTCCATTTGTTAACATGTACTCGGCCCTGCTCTCTTTCTCTCTCCTGGACTGCAAAAGTGGTGCTAAGCACCAAGACAGCTTACATGATCATGTCAGCATGTTGGAATATGCTTTTAGTGCTATATGACATGCTTATATCAAAGTATCCTAATAAGAAGGTCCGACTGCAAACGTTATGGGTTAAAGCAGAAACGTTTAATTCAGCAGCTCCTTCAGGCAGCTCCTTCAGGCAGATGCCCATGCCACCCAAAAAGCACTCTAACACAAAGTGGGTCTGACTCATAGTTTCTTCAAAGCCTTTTTGCACTGCACTAGGCTATAGATTTTGTGGAACTTTAATGCGATACAAATGAACACAAGGTCCCCTTCCTGTGCCAGAGGAATATAATAAAGCTATGACATGTCTGTGATTTGGAATCAAAATCAAATAATAAATCCTGCTTTCAGAGTATAACATAACGCCCAACATGTTGTACTGGGAACTGGATACCCAGTCCTCTCTCCAGCTTTTCCACAGCTCACTGACACTGAGTTGTTTTGTCAACGTCTCCATTTCTTTTTTGTCTTTTCAAATGAAGGCAGCAGTACCACTGCCTTCCATAAAGGGCTTTGAGAGTGGCAGCATCAGTGAAGATTTTTTTAGGAAGATGCTATCCAAAAGTGTCAGGCATGGCTTAGGTAAAATGGGGTTTGACATGGAGCAAGCCAATGGAGTAAATCGGTGTCTCTCAAGCTTTTCAATCTATGCCTCACTTCAATCAGTTAAGCATAATTTCATGCCTCATCACAGAAATGGCTGCAGGGCCAGAAGCAGGGTACCGCATGTCCCACGCTCCATACAACTCGCCAGCCAGGAACTGCTGGCACAGGGGGCATTCAAGGTCCTCGGCCAAACCCTTGAGGATGCCAAAAAACAAATGTTGCCTTTCATACTGTTGCAGTTAACAAGGAAAGGATGTTCTAAGGGGCTGGCATTTCAAATTTGACTTACAGTCAAAATAGCATTTCATAAACAGAATCACAGAATTGTAGGGATTGGAAGGGACCTCCAGAGATCATCGAGTCCAACCCCCCTGCCAAAGCAGGTTCCCTACAGCAGGTCGCACAGGTAGGCATCCAGGCAGGTCTTGAACATCTCCAGAGAAGGAGACTCCAACACCTCCCTGGGCAGCCTGTTCCAGTGCTCACTAGATGGCAAACAAAAACATGGCAAATTCAACTGGTTTTGAAAAGCCACCAATTCAAACAGTGCAGGAAACAACTGATCCAGAGTAAGCTAGGCCGGTGATCACTGCATACAGAACCCATCACCTTAGCAGACAGGGGTGACTCAGGTCAGTAGGGATTGACCTGTTGTCACAGCTCTGAGTCCAGTGAGTATCTGATGTTTGAGATCAGGGCTGGAGAGTTATCTTCGGCCCTGCTCTATTTAGTTGAGTAGGTGCAGTTAAAGCATCTCAGATCAGGCTTAGGCACTGCCAAAATTACTGCTTCTGAACTTCCTTCCACTCACCTTTCAGGTGTTTTGGTTTCTGCATTTATGAAACGAGAATTAATGATCTGAATCACAGGTGAGATGAGAGAGTAAATGGGAGGTGCTGAGACAAGGAGATGGAGTTTGTTATTGCCAGTTCTGAGTGCAGATCTCCTTCTGTGTGGGAAGACAACTAAAGCTCTTTGCTAATTAATTAAGCTTTGCAATACTCAAGGAAGCATGGGGATGGATTCCAAGGCACAGTGAATGAGACCAAGCATTTGGACACAGGAATAAGATACAATAGAGAACTTAAAAAGCTGAAAGAAAGGAAGAGGTGGTAGCTGTAATGAGACAAATCTGAAAAGCATGTAAGAACTAATTATTTCTATAAGAGTAGATGTGGTGAGTATGCAAGTAAGAATGGATTCTCATTAGAACTCTGCCCCTATTGTACTGCAGGACAGGAAGCAGTTCTGGCATCAGCAGCCTCATGTGCCATGTCACACCACTGATGGATTTTGGAAAGGAAAGGCATGACAGCATTTAAAAATGTAAGTACTGGCACTCCTATCATAAAGCACAGGCTGTGAGTGAACTACAGAGAGCAGAAGGTTGTGGGGTGTGGCTACTGATGGCTCTCCCTTCTGTTTCTAAATATAAAGGTCTGCAAACTTCACCATGAAGTGACAGCCACCCTCTATCACTGGAGGCCAGCTGTTTCTTTAGTACTCAGCTGTTCCTGCTGCTTGCTTGTAGAAATGGAAAAAGGCTATTTAGAGATGCAAATCTGCAAAGCCCTTGAGCACATGTGCATCTTAGAGCGTGTCCTTCGGTTCTCACAGTAGTTCAGTTTCACATCCACCTGTGCCTCTATGCTGACCTCCCTAAAGCTCATCCTGGACCAGGGGTACAAAGAAAGCCAGATCCAGTCCAATTCATTCTATGTGTTTTGGAAGTTTTAATGATACCTCGTGAGAAGAACTTACTTGAGGAAGTATCTTGCTAAACCTGCTTTAAGTTCTCTAGTGCACTGTTGCATGTTGTACAGAAAGCTCCTTCGCTGCACCTATAGGTTAATGTGTGCATTTGCAGAATGTATGCAACATACAGCATTTGTTTGGTATGAGCTAATTCATTCACTCCTACCTAAATGCATGTGGATTTACTCTGGATGTCATCTATAGGGGCTATGTCTGTGTGTGGTTACATGTGCACTAACTGCTCAAGCAAAAAATAGAGTTTAGAACTCAGACTGAGAGCCATCATGAACAGAAATCAGCTATTTTCAGAATTCCAGGGAGGCCTATTTTGAAGCCCTTATCACCATTGCATAACAGTTAATCATGCACAAGCTTCAGAGGTGAACACTATGGGTCAAGAGTGGTGGGGAGGAGCAGGAGAAGCTTCAAGCCCTCAAAGCCTTGGCAAAACAATAGCTGAATCCCTGCTTTAGAGACGAGTGCACCCTGATTTCACCCAGATACATTTGTACACACCAATTGCATTTATCTTCCCTTCTGGCTGCGTGACTGCCCAGCATGGATATAAAAGACTATAAGAAGCATTTAGACACACATACTAAGAAATACAGATGCTCTGCAGATCTGAGGTCCCACTAGTCCACTGGCTACAGGAGCAAACAGCATTGCCTTATCTGTGTATCTTTCTCTTTTCTTTACTACATGCCCTAATGCATGCGGTCAGGCAAATGGAACTTCCTTCCCTATGTAGACACTGCAGACCTATTCATACACAGTTTCGTGTCATTTTATAAAAGAAAGAAATGTGAAATAGTTTCTAAATGTACTCCAAGTGGAGACAACAGCAAAACGACCGTTAATTTTTATGGATTTACAGTGAACACCTTACTGTCTCATCCTCATGCAGAATTTCAACAGTTCAGGCAATAAGTAAATCTTAGAGCAATTTTTTTTTTTTTTTTTTTTTTTAAACTGTTGGCATCCATACTTTGAATTCTCCTCTGCTGTGTAATTTACAGAGTTGCACTTTTTTTTTTTTTTTTTTTTTTTTGCAAGAAGATATAACATTCTCTTAAATTACAGCCACAAGGCTGCCTTCTTTACAATACTTCTTTTCAATACTGCCTTGTATTTTGTCCCATCCTGGGAAACTGGGCCAAATAGGATGAGAGGTAATGGCCTTAAATTGTGCCAAAGGAGGTTCAAGTTGGATATTAGGAACAATTTCTCCTCAGAAAGAGTTGTGGGGCAATCGAACGGGTTGCCCATGGAAGTGACTGTCTGTGGAGGTGTTCAAGAAATGCAGAGATTGGCACTGAGGATTGTGGTTTGTGGGCATGGTGGGATGGGCTGATGGTTGGACTCGATGATCTCAGTGGTCTTTTCCAGCTTTAATGATCCTATGCGACCAGCAGTGTTCACCAGCCATATCACATTCACTTATCTGAGGGAAAGATACAGACTAGTGAAATACCAGCTGAAATGTATGAGGGTTGCTCTGCAAGTAATGCCTCCTGCCTTATGATGTTGGTCCATGACATCAGAGGTAGATGTTGGTGGTATGGCAGTAGAGGTTGAACCTTCCCACCAATGTACTATTACACGTTGTTGCTGTGTGACAGATGGCAGCAGAGGGGCAGTCTTACAAAATGGCATCTAACACGGAAGTGTGTATGAAGGTTTGAAACTGAATTCCTCCGTGTGAGAAAAAATTGCAGCCGCTGACATTCATAGATGCTTGCTGAACGTTTCTGGAGACCAAACAGTGGATGTGAGCACAGTGAGGCAGTGGGCACTGCACTTCAACAGCAGTGACAGCAGTCACCTCCGCTGGTGCAGCCTGAGTGCAGCATGCAGGCTCTTGTTTATTGCTGCTGAAAATGCACAGCTAATGGTGGTGACTGTGTTGGAAAAAGAAGTGTTTTGCAGCTGAGAGTTTGCTCTATTCAGTAACACTGCTGTGTTCTACCTGTTGTAGTTTCCACGGAAATAAACAGCAGGCACTGCTTTATGAGAAACCTACCTATGCGAAGTCTTACTACACTCCTATTTAAAAAAAAAAAAAAAAAAAAAAAAAGGTAAAGCACGATTTTTATTTTAAACCTGAACTGCTGTTCTCCTCTTAAAACGAACCTGTAGCTGAAACCACAGGAGCTGACGTCTTCTGCTGAAGAATAAAAGCGGAGCACAACGTACCGCAGCGCTCCTCATCAGCTCCCATTCAAAAAGCTCAACCGAAATCTACGGGACCGCTTGTGCGCCCCCGTGCCGGCCGGCAGGACGGCTGCTGACAGCCCGCAGCGCTTCTGGACGGAAGACGCAGCAACGCGCGCTGGCAGCACAGCTTAAAACCCATCTATTTTAAAACTTCTTCCTCACGCGAAAGCCAACACGTCTTCAGGCAGCAGCTGTGCAGCAGCAAGCCGAGATAAAGAGGCCGAGTCCGCGGCGCCAATGGGACAGCGCGGACGGGGAAGCGGCGAGCGGCTTCCTGCCCAGTGCCGCAGCAGCGGGAGGAAAAGGAGCAGCAGCAGCTCGAGGCGGCGGCTGTGCCCGGGGTGGCGGAAGGCGGCCGCACGTGCTGGCAGGAGCCGTGGAGCCGGCGGGCGGTGCTGCTGCGTTTCTGAGGGGCTCTTTTTTTTTTTTTTTTTTTCCTGCAGGATGATTTTTTTAACTCTATTTCTGCAGGGATCACCGATACGCGCGCCAGGCTTTTTTTTTTTTTTTCAGCAGATCCCTGTTATCTAATCGGTAGCATCTTTTTCATCCCAATCCGCTTCTTTCTGAACGCTTCCTGAGAGCAGCTCCGGGCCGAAAACTGCCTGGCGCTGAGCTGACGGCACAGCGCGCTGCGTCCCACGCGGCCCCACCGCCCCCCTGCGCCGCACGGCACATGCGCGCCCCGCCCCGCGCACGCGCAGTGCGTTCCCTGCGCGCGGCCTGCCGGTTCTCCGCGGTCCCGCAGTTCGCACCGCTGCCCTCAGCCCCCGCGGGGAGGAGAGGCTGCGCGGAAGAGCTGTGGGAGCGCTCAGCCTCCTCTGCCCCGCTTCGTTTTAGCTTTTCTTGGTCCCTTCCTCCCTTTTCTCACAGCTTTCCTGAGGTGCGCTGCCTGCCTACAGGTTTGTTTTTAACGGGAGGCGCTGCGAGGCCCCGCCCCGCCTGCTTCTTCCTCACGGCAACGCCGCGCCTCCTCCACGCCCAGTGGCCGTCCTCGCCCTCCGCCCCTCCCCCGGCTGTTTGCCACGCCCCTCCCACACCATTGGCTTCTTCCTTGCTCTCATTTGCATAGTGGCCATGAGGCCAATCGGCGCCAGCTAGCTGCTTAACATGCAAGAAGAGAGCCAATCGGCGCGCGAGGGGGCCGGGCCACCACGTGCTGTTGCTAAGCTTCGGCTTCTAAATTGTTACTATAGTGGCCAGCCAATGGGAGGCGAGATGGGGATCTGTCAACATTCCCTGCCCCAGCCAGAGGAAAAAGGAGGGGGGCTCTGGCCGCCGGTTGGCCCCGTGGAAGCACCTCGTCCCGCCCCCTCACCGAACCCCGTTTTACTATTGGCCGCGAGCGCTGCCAGTCGGCTGTGTGTCAAATGTAGGTTGAGAGAGGTGCCTTATAACTGGGGACTTGGAAGTCCCCCGCGCGTGAACTCGGCGCGGGGCGCGGCGCGGAGCTGAGTGGCCGGGCTGCGGGGGGCTCGGCTCGGCATAGCTCGGCTCGGCTTGGTTCGGCTCTCCTCTCCTCTCACACGCAGCCATGGAGTTGAACTCTCTGTTAATTCTCCTGGAGGCGGCCGAGTACTTGGAGAGAAGAGACCGAGGTACTGAGCGCCGCGAGCCGCTCTCCCTTTGTTGTGAGGCGATCGCGGCCGGGCCGGGCCCCGCGCACCACCTGCCCACGGCCGGGCACGGCGCTTGCCTTTCCGCTCTATTCCTTATTTTTAGTTTATTTTTCACATATATATCATTTTTATTTTTTCTGGTTTTCACCCGTGGATGGGGGGGCATCCTCCGGCGGTGGCACCTGGGGTGGTGGTGCGCTTTTGTGTGGTGTGTGTGTGTGTTGTGTGTGTGTGTGATCGATGTGTGTCTGTGTGTCTGTGTTGCGTGTCGCTGCTTTTAGAGATGCCAGAATGAAATCCCAACAAATCAACCGCAAACAAATTCTGTTCTTTACCCCTAGCGTTCCTGCAAAGGAGGAAAAAAATGCATGGAAAAAATATATTGCCACTAATGCTGACTTTGTCCCTAGAAGCAGAACATGGCTATGCATCAGTGTTACCCTTCGATAGTGACTATTCCAGAAAGAAAACAAAGGCAGGCTCCATGGCCAGAAAGTCCCCGAATAACAGGTAACCGCCGCAGCGCATCCCGCAATGCCCGTGCCGTGTCCCATCCATCCCGCCAGCAGCCAACCCCGCGGCTCGGCTCCCCCATCCCGGGAGTCGCCATTTTTCCCTGGATGGGCTTGGCTCTGTTTTGATCTCTCATATAAACACTGCCACGCGTACAGCATCTCCTCCCGGCCGGCCGCCCCCACGGCTCTGCTCTGCTCCGCTCTCGCTGCCGGCGCCTTGCCCGGGCCCCGCGCAGCCCTTTCTTTGCATGGCACCAATTCAACCCCTCCCTCCCTGCCCTCCCCCTCTCCCCCCCCCCCCCCCCCCCAAGCATTTATTTATAACCTTCCCCCCCCTTGGGGCCTCAGGATCACCGCATGCACGGGACTGTCCCGACCCCATGCTTGAACTTCTCCCGTAGGTACGGCAGCGAGACGGTACCGAAGCGGGCTCGACCCGATGCTGGAGCACGGCCAACACGTGCCGCTGTCACACCGCGTGGCCCGTCGTGGTCGTCGCCTGCCTCGTTGTGCCGTCGCCTGTTGTTTTTTTTTTTTTTTTTTTTTTTTTTTTTTGTCCCCGCAGCGCTACCTGTGCTGCGATGGCATTAGAGAAGGGCGGCTGCGCGCAGGCTCTCTGCAGCTTTGTTTGCTGCTCCGGCAGTGGCTGTGTACGTGCGGGAGGCTGTCTTACGGGGACGGTGCCGGCCCCCGCCTGGGAACTCCTCCAGCCCTCGCTCTGCTGCTCTGCTCCGCGCTGCTCGGCTCTTCCAGGGCTGTTCCGGAGTCGTCGTGCCCGGCTGGGCCTGGCCCCACCGCCGGCTCCGCTGGGCACGGTGCTTCCTCTGGAATAGCCTAACGTGAACTCGGCTTGCACGTGACTTGTTTTGCAAAGCAGACGTGAGCTCGGTGGGCCCGTGCTGCTCTCGCTCCCCCAGCAGGGATTCTGCAGGGTGCCCGAGATGCACACTGAAATCAGAAGCAGGCAGAGCTGGAACCCCGCTCCTGCCCACCTCAGAGAGCTGCTGGGGGAGACTGCTTGTTCCCTGTCCCCTGCTGTAAGTCAGGCACACGCTGCTGCCTTCTCACTGCAGTTCTCGGACGTGGTTTTGGATTCAGTTGAATTCTTTGTCTCATTTCAGAGTATGGAGATGTCAGTTCATTTTAGAGAGTCATCAGGAGTGGGAGAAGTTTCCTGAGATTTCTAGCTATTTACTCACAAAAGATGCTGAGTGCCTTTTGAAACAAATTCACGGTTAATCTAAACAGGGCTCCTAGGATTTCCCACTGCAAAGCGCTCATTGCACCTTACGGACTATTTGTGTCTCATGAGTTTGGGAAAGCTGTGTTACTTAGAGAGCTATTATTCCATCGTTTCCTTTCTTAGGTCTCTTGTCGTCCCTGCAAAATAGTTATCTGTCTGAACTGTAAGCTGCTTTCCGGAGTTTTTAAGAGAGGATTTGTAACCTATCGAATACAGCAGAATTAAAAGATTTCTGGTCACAGATTTGCTCATGTTATGGAAGCTGAGACATGCATGCCTGCGTGCAGTTTCCATCCTGCATCCTGTATTTGCTTGGACTTTCATTCTGATCCTCACCATGCAGCAGTGCCAGCCTCCAACGTGCAATCCTGTGACATACGACCTATACATTTCCTTGTGCTTTCTTTCTTCCTCGCTGCGGTGATTAGATCAGCAATGAGTTTGTGTTATGGGACGAAGTGGTGCTTCTCAAACTGAGCCCTGAGGCAGCACTGCTAGGTTTGTTTTGCGTGGCGTGGATGCTGTCAGGTTGTGAGTGAAGATGCATTGCTGAAATGCAGCATCCTGCTGTGTTAGGAGCGAGTGCGCCTGCAGAGCCGTGTGGGCACCTCTGCATCCCTCGTGCCTCCTGCCCCCATTCCCACTTGGAGCTGTTGCTGCTCAGCTTTGCATCTGAGTATGAATTCCAGGAGGGAAAATGATCTTTACATTAGAACATCCAGCCTAAACCCCATGAAGTACACCAGCATCACTGTTTATTATTATTATTTAGAGCTGATAGGCTGCAGGGTCTGAACCCCAGACTAGAGTTTGGGTAATGCCGTTAAGTCTCCCTAAGCGACTTGGAGATTACCAGGGGCAGACGACTGGTCAAAGTTCAGAGGATCTGGAGTGGTCGTGGTGATGTGAAGCATTGGGCAAAGTGTTTGTCGTTATTGTTCTGCTTCAACCCTTTTCCAGGCTTGGAACATCACATTCAGGCAGAGTGCATACATGTCTGAAGTGTATTCCTAATGACTGCATTTTTCTTCTTAGATACAAAAATACGTGCTTAAGGTTGGAGGGGAAGGAAAGGAGCAGAGAACTGCACGTTTCGAAACTGCAGGGGTTTGGTTGTTTTCGTCATCTGCTTTTATGTCCTGCTGCTTGCAGCATCCTTAGCTCCCTTTGTTTATACTGTGTGATCAGATTAAAAACTGATATATATATATATATCAGTTTTTATATATATATATATATGTATGTTTTGCACACTTCATGAGCTAAATATATGTGTGTGTGTGTATATATATAGGCATGAAAAACGTCTTCCTCCTCATTTTGGGAAAAAGAGGAAAGGGGAGGAGGGGAGAAGTGTCAGCAGCAGGAGGCTGTGCCACGCTCTGCTCTGCTCTGCAGTTCCTCCCCACGCTGCCTGCCTGTGGGGGCTCAGAGCACCCCTGCAGCTGCTCCAGATTTTCTGGAGGACTGGGGCAGAAGGGCCTCGTTTCTCATCAAGGTGCTGCTTCCCCTACTGATACAGTGTTGTCATGATACCTGGAGCCTCCAGCCGAATGGGGTGCATCTTGCTTGGGACTCTTGTGAGCAGAAGGGGAGGAAGGTGCTGACCCTTGGGACTGGGCAATGGAGTCTGCGCTGAAGCGCTGCCTGCTTCCCTAAGGCAATTAAATGACAGATTTGGATTCATAGCAGGAAAAATAGCAGCAAAACTGCATTTAATCAATCAAAAGCTATAAGACTACTGTCCACTGCAGGAATTTCACATTTTTGCTTTGCCTGCTGATACTTTTGGATCAAAACTGAAAGTGTTCTTTAGCAGCTTGTTGCTCAGCAGGATATTTGCATGGTGGTTATTTAGCCATCTTCTTCTCTTCTATATGAAAATTATCTGTTTTTATGTGATTTCTTCTGGCCACGTTTCCTGCAGTGTGCTCATTACTGTGTGTTCCATGAACCAGGCTGCTCCATTTTCTCTCTGATGTCCGTTGCTGAGATTCAGAGTTGTGCTCCTCCAATAGTTCTGACCCAAATCCTGCGGTCAGCAAATCTGCGTGTTTGTTGTGCAAGGAGAACAGCTCTGGGAGAGGCAATTGACTTTTGAGGGGAAGAAAGGTAAACCCAGCTCGCATCTTCTTGTTGCACAAATGCTTATCATGTACTTGACTGCAGGATAATAAATGTCTCCTCTTCACCGACCAATAACTGTAACTCCTACATCAGTGCAGTGCAGTCCGATAACTCTGGTTAATGTCTGTCTGGAATTACAGAAAGGGCATAAAGCAAGCAGCTGGGTTTAGCGGGGTTGTGCCTTGGAAATTCTAATAACAAACCTTTGGATGTCTTTCTGAGGTTGCTGTGAAATGGAGAGATAATGTGTGCAGTGTGCCAAGGAAGAGCATGACACAGATTGGAAATTTGGTGACGTTTGCTAGCAAGGCTCAGGTAGGAACCCAGCTTGGCCTGCAGGTAGCTGGATTTCCTTGTGTCCTGTCCTCGTGATACCTGAAAGCCCAAACGTTTCTGTGCTTCTATTAAAAAAAGGGAAGAGGAGACAATGGGAAAGGGCTTGGTGCTGGAATCCTGTACTCTCATCCTGAGTGAGGTGGATTTGCACCGCCATGCAGCTGATGGCACAGCATGGTACCAGCCCAGGGACAGCAGCGTCCCTGACCCGAAAGGGTCAGAAATAAGGTAAAATGAGAACTGAAATCAGTGTGTTGGATGCCAGTCCACTGAAGTCACGGTTACATTGAGTCGTGGAGAAAGGAATTGGACGTCAGTGGTGCAGTGTTTGGCCTGCTCCTTCAGGAGTTGCGTTATGGAAGGGGGGGGAACGAAAGCAAAATAAAGGCCCGTTCATAAATATATCTCCTCTGTCTATTAAAGTCAGTATTTTGGTCGGAGCGTTATATAAATAGGGCTGTACTTTTTGCTGCGCTCTGGTGAAGGGTTATGTGTAAAAAGGGGTGAAAGCTGCATTTGGTGTTTCAAATAAAAACAGAGCTCCGTATCCGGGTTCCTCTGTTAGTGTTGGCTCACGGCGAGAGGCAGCACGTGCCCTGCAGAGCAAGCCCCTGGCTCTGCACAGATGTCGCTCCGTGCCCACGCCGCGTGGGGATCAGAGCTGACTTTTATTTTTCTGTTCTTTTTTGTTTTGCGGAAGGCTGAGCAGAAAGCACTGAAGCAGGCTGTGGGGACGACGACTCTGCTTTCTGAATTTGATGGATCCCTCTGAGTCTGCTTTCCTAGAACAGTCTGCAGAGGGACAGCAATCAATATCCCTCAGCTTGTTTTTAATGCTGATGCTTTTGGTCCTAATGTGATGAATCTTACCGGCTGCTCCTTCCCCAGTGATGAGCTGCGCTGAGCCTGCAGTGCCTGGAAGCTGCAGTGTTGGTGTCAGTGGGAAGGAAACAATCTTGGCCATCATCTAGCAGCATGAGCTTGGATCCAGGGGCCTGAGCTGTGTGTAAGGAAGTGCCCAGCCCAATCTGCAAGGCTGTGAGGAGAATGCAGAAGTTGTTTCTGGTGGATGAATTCCACACCAGCACAGTGTAAGTGGTGTGTCCAATTTAAAGTAACTGGGAAAGTGCCCCCAGAGCAGTCGGTACAGAGCAGGATGTGCATGTACACAGGCTCAGCATTACACTCGTCATGCAGGGCAGTGCAGGTGATGGGCTGCAGTATTTCCACGTGTGTTTCATGGCAGCTCAGGTATGGACGTAGGGTTCCCTGGCTTTACTGGCTCCTCCTCCCTATTCCATACGATGCATTCACTAAGAAAACTGCTACTTGGTTGTTGGCTGATTGCTCGCCCTTTACTGCATGGTGTTAGGGCTGTCCTGGGCCACCATGCCTGCAAACAGCACTCCGGATCTCCTGCTGGATCTGTTATTTGTTGATGGTGTTTGTTGATGTCTCTCTCCTATTTTCAGCTGAGGCTTTTTACTGACTCCTTTACCAGCATTACCCCCAGCTCCCTGAAGTTGTGCATGGAGATGCACAACCCAGCACAGGGGACTTAAGTTTGATGCCAGAAGTCTTTCTTCTCTTGCAGGCACTTTCGAAGGCCTCCACAGACCATTGGTCTGAAAATTGCTGCATAGGCCTGGTTCTTCTATATAAATACATACATGTGTTCTTTTATAAACACACATATCCATCTATCTTCTTATTCCTGGCCCACTCCCTATATCAGTGAAATAATAAAAGCCTCCATTCTGGTAGCATTTGGAGTGCTGGTTTGTGTGCAGAGCAGTTCTAACTTTTCTCTCACTTCAGGTTGCAGTAGGAGCATAAGCAGATGGATATTCTTGTAATATGCTATAGTGTAGAAGGAGAAAGTAAATAGTATTTAGAAGCTCATCTCTCCTCTCCCAAAGAAACCAAATGAATGAAAACTATTGTGCTTTTTGATTAATCCTTCCAGAGCTGTCAGATTGCAGGGCATTTCATAGTATCACTGAGGTTGAAAAAGACCACTAAGATTACCCAGTCCTACTGTCAACCCATCCCCACCATGCCCACTTACCCATGCCACTCAGCACCAGATCTCCATGTTTCTTGAACACCTCTAGGGACAGTGACTTCCCCACCATCTGGGCAGCCTGTTCCAGTACCTCACCACTCTTTGAGAAGTAACTTTTCCTAATATCCAACTGGAGTCTCCCCTGGTACAATTTAAGGCTGTCTCCTCCCATCCAATCATTGCTTACATGGGAGAAGAGGCTTTGCTGTGACCACCTTTCAGACAGCTGTAGAGAGCAATACGGTCTCCCCTGAGCCTCCTCTTCTCCAAAGGCAGGTGGTACAATGGTCATGTGGATGTCAGCTGTCCAGGTTTGGTTCCCAGGCTGTCCCCAAGGGCTCAGTGTTGCTCAGCATGCTCAGTTCCTGCTGGTGCCAGTTCTCATGCTGCAGGTATTGAGGTGGGTTCTGTGTCCCAAGAAGGCGGGTGTTGGAGCAATTTGTTTTAGTTAATGGGAGTGTGGTCCAGAGCTGGCCTGGCTGCATTTGTCAGTGTTACTTCTTCAGAGTCCTCCATGACTGCCCCTGTGACTGTCCCCAGCCTGCCCAGTCTTTGTGAAGAATGGTTCCAGACTGAGCATTTGTTTTCTATGTGTTTCTGTGAGCACTGGCTAGTTGGACGTGGTGTTCTTTGCTTCTTGTGGAGCTCAAGCTTGATTTATCTAAGTGTATATGGGAATAGAGACCTTACTGGGGTCAAATGGCAACGATGTAAAAATGCAGTAACCACAACTTGATATGCCAGCATAGCATAGAATATCTTTATAAACCATTCTCAGTCTGGGTGTGTCGGTCAGGAGAGCATTTGTGTGGTGTTGGAAGAGTACCTGTATTGTCTGGGTGTGGCTCACTTGATGTAATGAGTTATAAAACTAATCCATAGGCTATTCAGCAAATGATAGCAGGTAATGGTTGCTTAGTTGATGTCTCAGTAGCAACACTGGGATGCTCTCAGTCAAAAGCGGATCAGCACCACTGCTGAATGTTGTGTGTGCCTGGGCTGTCCTTAACACACACAGGGCTGGGTTCACTTAATTCATTATGGGATCAGTAGCTGTGCTGGCCTGAAATAAATTGCTTGTGGATTTCTTCAATGGTTATTCCTTTGCATGAGCTCTCTCTTTTCCTCTCTGAGGCCGGAGAGGTAATGTTTATGGTGTGGCTCTCATCAAGGTACTGTGGGTGCAAGTGGGCACAGACAGAGCAGTTCCTGCTGTATGGGGCACATGTTGGTCAGGGAGATGTTGCTCTTGAGATGTCCACGCTTGCCACATAGTGATCCTTAACGTTCTGCACATGGTGCTGCTTGGACAGAAGTAATACCCCAGGAAGTTTCCGGGTTCAAAGTGGTGACAGTAACTTTGTTTTGGGAATGTCTTTAGTCTGAGCTGTACAAATAAATAAAATCGGTATTTCCAGCTGAATCAATTGGAAAAAAAAACAAATCCCCAAGAAGTTAGGGCCGCCTTCTGATGGCAGAAACCTGAGGCATCAGCTGGGGGAAAAAAATTAATCTCGAAGCCTGTTAGTTTGGAAGAGAATAGCATACTGGTGTGGCCAGCTCAGGGACTGGGCTTTTTTTTTTTTTCCTGTTTGTAGGCTCATAAGAATTCAGAGCATTCCTTTATTTTGCCACTAAGATGTCAGCAGCGGTGCTCGGCTGCTGATTTCTTCCTCTGCTTCTCCTGGGCTCCAATGCCAGCTTGCTGGTGCTTTCTCCCTTATCATTGGCACTCAGATCTCCTAACAGTGCTGCTCCCTCACAGCTTTTCTTTGCAGATAAAAATCTCGTGGGCTGCTTTTAATACTAACCTGATCATATTTTTTTCATATGCAATCCAGTCACGGAATCTATTGAAAACTTTATTAATGCAAATTTATTATAATTCCTCCCAACCCACCATTTACTCATGAAGATTAACTTGGTACCTTGAAATATTTAAGAGATGTAAAAGTGATTTGAAAGCAAAGTTGTTTCATAATACATAGAAGTATATATTTTAGAGAGCTCTTATGCAGGTGTTGGTTTTTAAGTGTTCCAAATCCTGGTGTTTACCTTGTTCTCTAATATTACTTCTCTTTTTTTTTTTTTAATAGGTCCTCACACAACGAACTAGAAAAACATAGGTAAGTCCTGAAAAAAGCAAATTGAAGGATGTGTGGCTGACATCTGAGTGACTGAGCTTAGTTCAGAATATTCTGTTGGAAATTTTTTGGTTCTGCACCAGATCTTTTAAGTGTTGTTTTTTACCAACTAAAATTTAATAGGTATCGTGTTGCCTTTCTCTTGGCTTCTTTTTTATGTTGTTCAGTGTGCTATTTTTGAATCACCTCTGATAATTAGCTTTTGCCTAATTAAAGCTGTAACTGGTTAACTGCACTGTTACTAATAAAGAATCCAACTGCAGCAACTATTTGCTGGAGGTATATTGTGATTAAGGCGGGTTATTTTGGGGGAGCAATGTGTCACACAGCAGTATTTATTGTTTTAAAAGCATGCCTGAAGTACAGTTAATTTTGCTCTTGCAACTTGCACTGCATGTTGGTACATACAGAGATGTTTTTGCCGTTGCACTGGTACAGAGCTGCACGTGGGCTCCTGAGCTGCAGCCCTGATGTGGGGCAGTCGATGCTGGGAAACTGCAGTTACTGTGGGCATTCATTGGACCCCAAAGATGTGGTTTGTAAAGGCCCCATATTTGCACGGTTCTGGAAACTGTTGTGCTTTGCTGGGATTTGCTGGCAGGTGAGATCTGGCTGCAGTGTGCAGTGCTTGAAGATGCACTCAGGTGACTGCAGCGTGCTGAAGGTTCCCACGCTGTGGGATCACTGCCTTGCGTGCACCATACAGGAAAATCTTTGGGGTCATTTTTATCCACATCCTTTGGGATGCGTTTGTCCTTTTTCATTAGTTTGTGGTATTTTGGGATTCACGGATCAAAGAAGTGTGTTGCATGAGTGTGGATGAGCTACGCCTAGCTGCCTGCTTCTGAATGTGTGAGAGGTGGCTGATGGCTGGTTTTGATGGCACTGCCAGATTGAGCTCACTGGGGGTTTTCGCATGTTTTTTTCTCTTCTTTTTTTCAATCTGTTCTGTGGCCACAGTGACGTAGCAACTCAGTCATCACTTCCCTCGCATGCCAACATGCTTTCCTGTAGTTTAATTGTAATATGAGTAAATGTGGCCCTGCCTAACAGCCACGTGGTCATCCTGGGAATGGGAGGAACTCAGGCCTGGGCTGCAGAGGGCAGTGGCTCAAGCAGTGAGATCAGTCCTCAAGAAAAACGCTTCATGCAGATTTCTGCCCTTTGGTTTCAGTTTTTTTAAAAAACAAAAACTACCTTTGCTCCCAGCTATGCTTCTTTCTCACTCTCTTTTCCACCCTCTTTCGGGATGCTCACTTCTGTTCCTCCTTTCTCCCTGTTCCACCATTACTGACTTGTCACCATTGAAGGGTCCGTCCCTCCTTTTTCCCCCGATCATTTCTCCACCCTGAGCCTCCACTTCCCCCTGCCCCACCACGCTGTGTTGCAGCAGTGTGCTGCAACACCACCGCTTGCAGGAGATGCAGGGGCAGTAGTGGGATCTGCTCGTTGTTCAAGCTCTATTCTTGCTTTCAGTTCTGCACTATATCTCTGTAGTGGTGCACTGGGTAGTATTTGTCACGTTAAATCTCTTTTCTATGCCATCTCAAGGTCAAAATAGGTGAACTGCGAGGTGTGCTTGTGGTTACACAACTAACACTTGTAGCTGCTTCTGCTTGCTGCACCTCCTCAGGTTTTACTGCACTTAAAGCCAGATTTTATTATTCCTGGTGATTTTATTATTAGTGGTGATTGGTGTGAGTGGCAAATCAGTGCAAGTACACTGTATGTGCGAACTGGTGTTCCCAAAGCATGTGAGATGTGCCTAATTCTAGTTACCTAATGGATTGGCATGAAGGACTCTTGTAAAATCTGTTTTTGAACAGCCCCCTCCTCCAGCACAGTGGGTTTATGAGCTGATAATACCGACCGTACTGTTCTTCACTCTGCTTTACTAAAATGGCATTAAAATCCATCAGGCGTCTTGTAAAGTTTAATGGCTCCCAGCCGCGGCCAGGCCCTGGGGCAGCAGTGGCTGCTTTCCTCCCCTGCTCCCAGAGGCCTGAACACCGCGTGGCCGCTCAGCAGTGTGCTGTGCTGTGCTGTGCTGTGCTGCTCTGTGCCCTGCGCTCGTGTGGCACGTGTGGGGCTTGAGATCCGACTTTGACATCAGTGGGCAGGGCATTGCCTGGTCCCTCAGTGTGTTCATGTGCTGAGTTGGTTTTTGGTGCACTCTTGAGGGGATGTTGAGAGGAAGAGAAATGGAAACAGGGATATAATTCCAGCAAAATTCTTCTTGTAGGATAGACTTGAGGTCAAAGCTATAGTAACGTGTTTGTCAGCACTTTACTCATTAAATTCCTTTCTCTCTGATGCAAGCCTCAGTAGGATGCCCTGCTCAACTTGAACGTGGTCCATCTTGGTGAAATTCTGTAAGGACTCATTCATCTGATGACTTGCCCACTCTGGTGCCATGTAGTTAAGGTTCACACCTCAGGGCCACAAAGCAAGAAATATCCAAGTAAAAAGCAAGGAGGAAAGAAATCTGTCCTAAGGACAGATGACAGAATCATAGAATGGCCTGGGTTGAAAAGGACCACAAAGATCATCTAGTTCCAACCCCCTGCTATGTGCAGGGTCGCCTACCACCAGACCAGGCTGCCCAGAGCCACATCCAGCCTGGCCTTGAATGCCTCCAGGGATGGGGCATCCACAGCCTCCTTGGGCAACCTGTTCCAGTGCATCACTACCCTCTGTGTGAAAAACTTCCTCCTAAAAGATGTTCTAGATGAGACTGTAATAGCTGAAGGCATGTCAGTCAGAATGGTACTCAAAAGTAACTAGTATCCAATGATACAGTGGATAATATACAAATAATATACATGTATATCTTGTTTGTTAGTGTTTCTAGAGCTTTGTATCCATAGGCTTTCACTGAGCAGCCTAAATAGGAAGTAAATTGGCACTTATGACCTCTTGCAAGGAAATTTTGAAATGGCCCTAACCTGACACCTGTATGAAGGAATTTAGCTTTCCCTGTGTGAAAACCGAAAATCAACGAGAGATTCAAGTGGCTTAACCTCATTCCTTTGCATTATTTTAAGCTAATTCTGTACTACAGCGTGAAAAAGCAAGGTATATCCTTCTCAAGACTGCATTGGGATCTTAGTATCTTAGGGTACTCATGCTGGACTCTGCCCTGCTCCTGGTGCAGTGCTGCAGGAGGAAGTGGCCTCACAGTGGTGCGTCCCTTCTGCAAGGCACGTGCAGCCCTGGGCACCCATATTGGTCTGGCCCTCCTGGAGGTTTCACTCCTTTTGCATGGCTGTGCAGGGCTCTGTGAGGTTGAGATCTCACTCTTTGGATGGCAGAGCCTTTGAAAATTGAACAATTTTGAAGCACAGCTTCTAAGAATTAGTAGGGAAATGAAGAAAAAGCTTCTGTTTCAGTGTTCTCAAAATGGACAGGGAACGTGTTTCTGTTCCCATCTTGTAAGCTGAGCAAGTGTTTTGGCTTGATTTAGGCAGACAGTTATCTCCTGCCTCTGCCAGGTCTCTTGGATTTTTCCCTGTGTGTTTTGTTTGTTTGTTAATCAAGAATGCAGGAAGAAGTGAATTAGCAGCAGCAAAACTTGTCTTTTGTGCATTCCTCAAACAAGCATGCCCCTGTGAGGCACTCGGGAATATAACTCAGAGGGGGCTGTGTAATGTCTCTGAGCAAATGGACCGCAGGTCTCCGACAGGCAGTGCCCAGCCCTGCAGCATCCCTGCAAGTGCTCTGCTGCAGGAATCAGCACATCCCATCCCAGTGAAAAGCAGGCATGGTCCTGGGAGAGGGCTGCTCTGGGGACGTTGCCCTGCTTCCTGGGGGATATTGCTCTGAAAGGGGGAGGAGTAGAGGTATTCAACTGTACTCTGGGTCTCATGTGGGACAAGAAGCAGTTTGCTTGAGCTCAAAACATGCTATGTTTCATGTTGCTAGAAGCTGTGATGCTGCATAAACCTTTGTAGGTTGTGGGAGACAGTCTGAGATTTTTAAAAGTGCAAGGTCAGGATGGGAAATATATGAGATGCAGTGACTTGCAGAGCATTTTAGTAGAAGAAAAACTTTGACTTTTCTAAATGAGCCTCACCTGTAGTGTTTTACAGCACTAATCGGGGGAAGCTGAAAGTGTTCCTGTGTGTGCTGAAGGTAACATGGTCCTTGGGTGTGTGCCATGCTTTGGGTAGGCCTTAAGCGTAAAGTCTTGCCAGGCAAGCATCATTATGTGTGTATGATGTGTATGAAGCAGATATGTATATATAAATATGAGTTTTGATTAAATATATATGTTTTAATGGAAGCACTGTGATGTACAGCATTAACCGATAAATAAGAGTTGGTGTCTGTGAAGTTAAATTCTAATAGATCATCTGTTATATCATGAAAGAAGTGCAGCTGAGCTTGCCAGGAGCACTGTCACATTCATTGTTACATTAATTTCCTACGTAAAGGGTTACTTGTTGTTTGGAGAGTGCATAGTGGTCTGTAAGTTCTGTCTGTGCTTCTCTGTGTTAGTAAATTGCAGGGTTAATAAAAAGTGTACATTCATCAGTTGCTGATAAACTTAAAACGAAAAGGTCATTGAAATAGCAGTATACCAAAACAATACTTAATGTTTATTTTCACTACGAGCTGCTTTTTCAAAACCCAAATTACCATTGCAGTTAGTATGTTGTGCCGCAGAAAGATCCAACTGCGTTGATCCATCACATTTAAAGGTTACAGTGCAGCTCAGGAAATCCCCCAAGGGTCTGCCGGAAGCTGAGGACATAGGATGCTTCCATAGAAGGATCATCCATGTGTGTCCTCCTGCTGGGCATCATCATGAGTGCAGCCCAGCCTGGCTGCTGCCCTGTGCAGAAGGTTTGGGAGGCTTGCTGCTTCTCTCAGTTTGTTTTCCTGACCCAGCTGATTGTCCCTGGCACACCCTACTGCCAGCTTCAGGACAGGGTGGAATCAGTTCTGCAAATGACGGTATTAATTTGCAGTGCAGAACAGTA